CTGGATGTCAACCAATCTGGCCTCAAGAAAGGGCATTCAACTGAGACTGCATTTGCTGTCGGTCACCGAAGCCCTGCGGATCGCAAAAGCTGCTTCCGAATCATCAGTTCTCATCCTCCTGGATCTGTCTGCTGCCTTCGACACTGTGAACCATCAGATCCTTCTGTTCACCCTCTCATCACTGGGCATCACAGGTACTCCTTCTCCACTGGTTTGAGTCCTATCTCACAGGTAGGTCCTTCAGGGTCACATGGAGAGGTGAGGTATCCAAAGCACATCAACTGACCACAGGAGTTCCCCAGGGTTCAGTTCTTGGACCGCTCCTCTTCTCCATTTACACCACATCACTGGGACCTATCATACAGGCACATGGTTTCTCTTACCATTGCTATGCTGATGACACCCAGCTCTACCTCTCATTTCAACCAGATGATCCCACAGTAGCTGCTCGAATCTCAAGCTGTCTGGCGGACATCTCGGCATGGATGAAGGAACATCACCTGCAGCTCAACCTGGCAAAGACAGAGCTTCTCATCTTCCCTGCCAATCCATCTCTACAGCACGACTTCACTATCCAGCTAGAGTCATCCTCAATCACCCCATCAAGGTCGGTCAGAAATCTTGGAGTAATCTTTGATGATCAGCTGACCTTCACAGACCACATCACAAAGACAGCTAGATCATGCAGGTTTGCTATGCACAACATCAGGAAGATCAGGCCTTTCCTAACTGAGCATGCAACACAACTTCTCGTCCAGGGCCTGGTCATTTCTAGGCTTGATTACTGCAATGCTCTTCTGGCTGGACTTCCATCATGTGCAACTAAACCTCTACAAATGATCCAGAATGCTGCAGCTCGTCTGGTCTTCAACGAGCCCAAACGGTCCCACGTCACTCCTCTGTTCATCTCTCTGCACTGGCTTCCACTCGCTGCTTGCATCAAGTTCAAGGTGTTGACACTTGCTTACAGATTGACCACAGGATCAGCTCCCTCCTACTTCCACTCACTACTACAAGTCTACATCCCTACCAGAAGCCTACGATCAGTCAATGAGCGACGGCTAGTAGTACCATCACAGAGAGCCTCAAAATCACTCTCCAGAACATTCTCATTCACGGTTCCATGCTGGTGGAATGATCTACCCACCCTCATCCGGAATGCAGAATCCCTGACAGCATTCAAAAGACAACTGAAAACTCATCTCTTCCGTGAGCACTTAGCATAGAGAAGAAAAAAAAGAAAAAAGAAAAAAAAACTCTTTCCTTTTCCTTTAAATCCTTGCTTATCTGGCTTATGCTACTCCGAGCAATGTCTGAACTTTGTATTTTGAGCACTTCTTGCGTTGTTTTTGTCTCTTCACGATGACTCGCTTGGTTTAGTCCTTAGTTGTAAGTCGCTTTGGATAAAAGCGTCTGCTAAATGACTAAATGTGAATATATCATGGAATGAATCTTTGATAACTCAGTTTCTCCACTCTCGCTTTCAATTTCTTTTCCTCCTTCGTTCTTAACTTTGATGTAAGTAATTTTGTCAAATAATTAGGTCTACCTTAAAAGGTACACTACAGAACATTTGGCACACTAGCGGTTTATGAAAAAAACTGAACGTGTCTTGCTTAAGCTGCACTCACATGCTGCATGCCTGCATTCATAAAGCTGCTATAACCAGGGCTGATTCACACAGAACGTGTTTTTCCCATTTCCACTGCATTCTAATAAAAACTGGATTTTTTTTTCAATGAAATGGATGTATATATTTTAGTTTGATAATGTTTTTATTTAATATTTTGTATTTTTAAGGAATTTTATAGTAGTAAATTATATTTAGTAGTGATAATCAATTTATTCGCTTTTTGAACATAGACCTGAAAACTTAAACTTAACATAAATTTTAAATGCTTTGGAGCAGCACAGACTTGAGTTTTGTCACTTTTTAAAGAAGACCCTTGAAAGATTATCGCTGAAGAGAAAAAAAAAGTTAACTTAAAAGTTATAGAAGTTAAAGTTTATTGTTTTCAAATATTCACAAAAATGTTCAATCTTTACATGAAATATATATTTTCCAAAACATGTTTTACTCTAAAACTGTGAGACATTCAAAGCCATAAATCTAAACAAGTTGTGCTCCAAATTTGAGTTTGAACTAAAAAAAAATTAGTTTTCAGTCAGATTGTGTTTGGGCGCAGTACCAAAAGTTTCCACTAGATGAAATTCGTCTTCCATTCATTTCCAATGCGCTCATTTTTGAAAGTGTGGCTAATTTTTTTAGGGCCATTTAACCCTTTCGAATCATGTCCATGACTTTTTGTGTGTTCACATAGAAAGTGCCAAAACCTTTACCAAGTTTTGTACCATTCTGATGAAGTAAAAAATCCTCAAAAACCAAAACGTTAAAAAAAAAACAATTCTAAAAAATGACCGAAATGCACCAGAGGGTAAAAAGAAGTTCAACTTCTCGCGACCTAGTGTTTTTCCAAATTCCACTGCCTGCGTCTCATGTTTTTCAAGGTGAAAACATGTGTGTGAATGGTCCCTTAGGGCCGGTTCACACTTCACACAGAATGTGTTTTTTGCGGTTAAAAATGCAAGACACAGGCAGTGGAGGGCAAAAATCACCCCTCTCTCGAGATGCGTTTAAAAAAAAAAAACTACATTATAAGTATGGATTTTTGTTCAGGCTTTTTTCATTGGGTGTGTGGTTGCGGCTAGGGCACAAAAGTGGCTTGCATGATTAAATAATGATGCAGAACCATTCAATTTGCATTCAGCAATGTTCAAAGCGAACAATGTACACTTCATAAGGTGCCGGTTTGCTTTGCCTCTGAAGCTCCGATCTATGGAGAAATATTATTTCACTTTTTACTATCATTTATAGCACCTTCAAGGTTGACTGAGATCATTAAAGGATTAGTTCACTTCAGAATGAAAATTTCCTGAATTTACTCACCACCACGTCATCCAAGATGTCTTTCTTTTTTCAGTCGAAAAGAAATTCGTAATCACGTTGAAAGGTCACGCGTGACGTAAGCGGAAGTACCGGCCGAGTGTTTACAAAGCAAACGTGCAAAGACCAAGTCAAGCGCCATTTACAAAATAATAAATAAATAAAAGTTAAAACAACGATGTCGGACGATTCTGAGGTTGGAGGAGAAAATTAAATGGAGTTTTTCGCCCTATACATTTTGAGCCGGAACAAGCGTGACCTTTTAACGTGATTACGTAACACGTGGCGCATCACAGTGCTAGTGCAAGATGAGCATTTGTGGTTAAAAAGTATATATATATTTAATTTATTTTTGTTGAAAATGACCAATGGTTTGGCTAGATAAGACTGGGATCGTGTCGAGTCTTTGAAGCTGCATTGAAACTGCAATTTGGACCTTCAACCCGTTGGACCCCATTGACGTCACTATATGGAGAAAAATCCTGGAATTTTTCTCAAAAACCTTCATTTCTTTTTGACTGAAGACAGGCAGACATGAACATCTTGGATGACGTGGGGGTGAGTATTTTAATTCTGAAGTGAACTAATCCTTTAAGTGGGTTTATGCTCATTTCAAGCACACAAAGGCTTAACAGACACACATAAAAATAAAATCATACACTGTACAATTATTGTATGCCATTGCTTTAGATAAAAAAAAAAAAAAGGTCAATCCAAAAGTTATGTATCTACTAACCTTGCCATGTAATAAAAATGTCATAATAATTTCCTATTTTATGTTTTTCTGTATGTTGGTAGCGTGCACCACATGACTCTGCAGCAGTGCTGTTATTGTTTAAGTCCCCCTGTGGTGAAAATCAAGCTTTTAATGTTGTTTATATGTTTATATGTTGTTGCTTTAAGACAAACATGTGCAAATTCATAAGTCAACACCATTGCTGAGTATTTTCTCCTTAAAACTGCAGTGACGGTCTCAAAAATGCGGTTTGAAATCGCTGGTGTTTCTGACATTACAAACTACCTTACAATTCATAGAACCGCGTATACTAAATGAGGCAAGGGTGTAGAGTTACAGTCAAGCTATTTTAAGGCATAATGTCATTTTGGTGATCAAGGATGAGTTTTAAGGGATACCATTATTGACTACAGGGGGACTTTAACTAAAATTAAAACTATTAAAATTTGTAAAAAATTAAATAAAAGAAAAGAAATACTGGATGAAAAACAAACTTAAATAAAAAAAATGTTGACTTGGAAAATAACTAAAATAAAATACATAAGTTAAAGTACTAAAATGACTAAAACTAAAATAAAAATAAAGCCAAATAGAATTTTTTTTAAAACAAATAAAAAATGACAAAAGCACAAAATTACTGAACATTATAATGAAACTGACATTTAAAAATAATGAAATAATAAAAAGCTAAAAACAAAAGCTATAATAGTATATAAATATATGTATGAATCTTCCCAGTCTGTCAGTAACGCTCCGTTTAGTTCCTGTCTCTATGAAGCCCCTCCTTCTGAAAAGCTGAATGTGCTCTGATTGGTCGGCTGGACCGGTATGTTGTGATTGGTCAACCACTTTTTTGTGTTTTGAGTGTGTTTTGGAAATGTCCCGCCAGATTCAACACACTACAAACTAACTCAACCAGGCCTGGTCCCTTTATTCTGCGTATGCATTGGCATTATTTAAATGAGGAATATTGTGACGCGTTTGTTCTCGGAAGAAAACTGAAGACTACAATCGAGGCGTTTCAGGGAGTTCAGAAACAGTGACACTGATATAGACTTTGTGCTTTGTAACTTTGCAGACCTTTTTCATGCTCAAACAGCAACATTAAAGAAAGGTAAAGAAAGGTGCTCTTTAAAAGCAACCACGAGATTGGCTCAAAAAAAGACGTTCTGAGAAAAGCTTGTGCAGGACTTGTTTGCAGGCGTTGCTGGCGTATGATATCTAATGAATTTACATTTTTAAGTGTGACTTAAACAACAACATTCTCAATCATTTCTCATCACAAACGTAATGACATTTATTGTAGATAAGGGTCTTTACCTGTGTTGTCTGCTCTAACTTCTGTACTAAGTGCTTGCGTTGCTAGAAGATCCATTTCAGGGTTTACACCAATGGAAGCCTCTCCGTAAGACAAAGAAGACCTGGGATATTCGTCCCGGTGGAGCACCCCCATAGCGTCAATCCTTCCAGAATGGGGAACGGCTGCCAAACTTTGACTGCATGCAGGGTTCGAGTTCATGTGCATTTTGTTCTGGGTAACGTGGAAAGGCGCACGCAAGGGTTTGATCATGGACGTAGGGGAGTTGTCCAGCGGAGACGAGGACACCGCCAGGGAATCTCCGTCTACAGAGGACGGCTTCTGGGACATCGAAGAACTAGAGGGCGGCCTGTTCTGGAGGTTCGGCCTGGGCGACTGCGTGACGCCTCCAGAAGAGCGGTTCCCCTCCGAGCTGCTAGGCATCTGTTGGTTGGCCACGCTGTAATAGTCTTCACCCCTCTCTTGTTTGATCTTCTTCAACGCCGGGTCAGTGCTGTCCTCGGGTCCCGGTCCTTTCCCGGCTCTTTTCCTGTGCGCGGCGCTCGAGGCGTGGTTGAACTCGGAGTCGCCGTCTTCGTCGGTGGCCGACGACTCGCAGACGATGTCGTACAGGTTGTTGTTGTACTCCTCGCCGTTGTCGTCCATCTCGGAGGCTTCGCTGCAGTTGGAGATGTCGCACGAGTCGTGGATCTGACTGGAGTCGCCTTGGCTGGAGCTGCCCTTGTGTTTCCCGGCATTGCCGAGGAAGCGCTCGGCCGAGGTGTTCTGCATGACGGCAGCTGCCTGAATCATACTGTCCGTGTTGATGCTGCGGCTCTCTGCGTAGCACATGCGTTCCTTGTTCCCGGTTTTGCAGGTGGTGTTGAGGGGCCAGTGGTAGGCGTGACCGGCGCTGCAGCCCCACAGGGCCGTCAGGGTGCCGTGAGAGCCCTCGTTCAGCATGTGCTTCAGGTTGGGGATCAAGGTGCAGATTGTTCCATGACTGTGGGCCCATTTCACCAGTTTGGCGAGGTTGTCGGAGGAAGTGTGCAAACAGTCCTCCATGTTGAGCCTCCTCCCCTTGGGATGATAAGATTCATTCATTTTTCAATACAAACTAAACTTAAAGGCAACAAAAAAGGCAGTTGCAACTCATTTTACTTCCATAAAATCAGTATAAGATGCATTTAGAAAATAGGGTGAATTTTCATTTCATGACAACTTTAACGCAAAAGAGTAAAACAAACCAAAAGAGCCTACTTCTTTTTAGAGGCGCTGGTTCTGGAAATATTTTTTCCATTCATTTCTTCCATAGGGATTATTAGCCATGAAGCCAAGTCAACCAGCTACGAGGTGAATCATAACATTTTCTTCAAAACTTTGATTTGAAGCAAGAAAGTATTTGAAAATCGGACAAAATGACGAAGGTACAAGACTGTACTTAACGGCTTTAGAGAGGGAAAGAACTACAATCCCAAGAAGCATTGCGAACAGCATAATCAAATTAAAAATGATGGAGAAATATAAAACTACTCATTTACAAATGTTGATTTTATATATAATATTTTTATAATATGCATAATATGTATAGAAATATTTAAATATTTTGAGAGTGTCGGAAGACTATGTACGTCATTCGCAGTGCTTCATGGGAGTGGGCGGAGCTAAAGAGATCTTTTGGCAAGTTTTGCTGGTTTCGACTCTGATTGGTGTCATTTTCTGTACAGCATCATGGATAATGTAGTTTTTCACCACGAGTTCTGCTGTTAAACGATTATTTTAAAAATAAGATGAAATAATGCGAATTCCTCTAGAATCCGACTGTTGCCCTCTATAAGATATTCATATTAAATTTTCAATTCAACTTTTGTCTAGTTGTCATAGAATTTTTTATTTATTTAATAAATAAAAAATAAAAGCATGAACACTTATGTATATCAACATTATTTTATCCAATAAATTACTTATCTGAGTATGATCAGCTACTCCCTTACAATAAAGTACTGTGACATTATGGTGTCGCTTGATAAAATTAATTAATTTTTCAATACAAATGTTTTTTTGCATACGATCAACTTAAAGTCAACATGAAATGGCAGGTGCAGCCCATTTTACTTTCAAAATGTTCACAATAAGGTCATTAAGATGCATTTCAATAATTAAACGACTTCATAGAAGGTCTTAGTTCATGCAAAAAATACAATTCTGTCATCAATTGATCAACCTGAGCTTCTGTTTGACCATATTTTATGTGTTCTATGTATGTACAAGCAGCACATATTAATGTTTAAAAGTGAATAAATCTGCTAATCACATAATGTGATCGTGTCTCCTCAGAATACTTGGATGAATTATCAATTAATACATATAGACTGCTTTCACAATGTCTTTAGGAATGTGTTTTTGAAGTGTCAACGTTATGATGGAATGGCACAGAATCTGATTTCATTAAAAAGGTCTTCATTTGTGTTTCGGAGATGCATACTATTAATACTAACAATAAAGTAGCCTATCTTTTTAAATATTCTCAGGTGAGCACTTATGTAAAATCAACATTAGGCTATTTTATCCAATAGATTACTATACTTATATAAGTGTGCTTGGCTTGTCACTTACAATAAAGAACTGTGACATTATGGTATGTGATGGTAATGATTGATTAGCATATTAATTTACCACAATATGTACATGGTATTCCAAGGTAACTTTACTTATGAGAATACCATCGCCATGCAGAATGTTAAAAATCAAAACAAAAACATTGAATTACCAAGGTACTTTGATAATTACTTTTTTTATTAGCGAAATTATCTGAAGACACACCCCTGTCAAAAACATCACCGCCCACATGCATTGTTTACTACATTAGCTCTCTTGTGATTAGTTGTATGACACATGAAGCCATTGATGTCTATGTTTATGAATACCGATCACGCTGCCTCTATAGACCGCAGTTTTGCACATCATATTCGCGTAATAAACGCAGAGGTCCGAATGCACATGAAAAAAATCCCCGAGATGTGGCGCGTGCAGACAGCTGACTGAGTTTGAGACAGAGCCCGTGAGTCAGAGGATCTGCATAAACACAAAGCCCGACAAAAGCATCATGTACCTTCATACGGGAGAATCCACTCCGATGTCCGTCACGTGTGCTGCTCGCTGGCTCTTCGCTCGATATCAAACATAATTTGTTAAAGCAAACTCTTAATGTATCCGCGGTTCTTCAAATTTTGACAGCATTTTATACAAAAGCCATTAATTCTGCTTTTAATGGACGTACAGCGGGTACTTCCGCTACCACCGGAAGTACGTGTCCGAGATATATGATATGGCAGCAGGCAGTGTGCATGTATGACATTTTATATTTAATTTATTACACTATCGTAAATGACATCGCTAAATATTTTCGTCAAAGTATGCATTCAATAATATACTCGTGGCGAAAAAGAAGTTGATATCTGAACGTTAACCTGACGTTTAAACACTTAAAATGTGCCCAAAGACCCTGTTGCAAGATTGCAACACGTGTTTAAAGCAATTTAAAAAAAAATACTTTTTTTGTTATTTTTGTATTTATTCCAAAGATGTTTAATGAAAAAAAAAGTAGCATACATAATTTTAGACTGTTTTGTAAGATAAATTAAAGCGAAAATGCATTTTACTAAAGGATCATCACACAATTTTAGAGAATCACAGGTTCTGTTCTGAAATGTTAGTCTTCCTGTAAAGGCAGAAAGGCAAAGTCAAAAAGGACAAATAATATGTACTTTAATTATACTGTAGTTACGTTTAAACAATGGTTTTATAACCAGTGGCTTCCTAAAACCACTTTCAAGATGGATAAATCAAAATACATAATCAGTGTCAATGAGTTAAACCTCCATCCCTCAAAGAATACTAGAATTATGATAGTAAAACCACAGTTACCACAAAAAATATATATATATTTAAATGAGAGATTCTTAAAGCTTCTTGCACTGTACGCATGAGCTCCTATGTTATTTTGGTTAATTATGGTTTTACTGTAGCTATAGTCATTATGGTATGTTGGTGGTCATTTTTTAAGAGACTGTTCATTCTGCTTTTTAGAATGATGTAATGACAAATCTATTAAGGGGAGACACTACAGGCAAACCTGTGTTTTCATGCAATCTGGCAATTTTGAGATTTTGGGGCTTTTTGGCTTTCCATAAAGTGTTTTTTTCAGACTAGTGGACAGAAAACATCCGAAAAACACCTTTAACTGTATCTTTTAGAGCACTTTATCTATTTGCATCTGTAGATTTCAATTACAGTATATATTTTTAAAGGACGTTTTCTCAAAATGAGTTTGTCCTACATTGAGCCAGAAATCTCCACTTCAGTAACACTTACATACACCAAACTTTATTCTTATCCATATTATGAAGATTTTTACAAAGGGGTTTGTTCATATCTAGTTTTCCTGATTTTATACAACATTTTATTCCTTAAAAAAATGGCGAAAATGTCATTTTTTTTGGCTGTTGACAGTATTTTCTTATTTGTGGAGGGATCGAGATATCCAAAATCCCCTCTGTAAAAACCTTTGGCTCTAATATATAAAATAAATTAAACAATTTTTAACCTGACTTCATCCAATGTTCAGATTTTTGTTCTAGAAATGTATGCAAATCAGTGCATATTTAATTAGACAATGTCTCATTTGCATATTTAAACATACAATTTCTGAAAACTTGTAATACAAAAAAATGTTTGCTATTATTAATGTAATCAATCAACTGGTGAAGTATGTATTTATTCGTTTTTTTTTTTTTTACCCTATTCACCTGGGGTGTCTCGCCTTAAATAACATGCAGTGAAGAAAATGTAACTAAAGGAAAATCCTTTATTAAAATTAGTATCATCTGGACAAATGGTTTAATGAAAACAGTGATATAGAAAAGAGATCATGTACATCATGTAAGGCAGCCGATTGAGTGACTATATCACAGCTTAGACTTCATCATGGCCATCATCTTCTCCAGTTTGATGGCAAGGCTCATGTCACCCTTGATCTTCAGCTTTCCAGACATGAAGGCCATGGTCGGCTTTAACTTCCCTATGGATGAAGAACAAGGTTTGCATCAGTGCTTCCAGTTGTGTCAGTAGTGTGTGAAGTGCATCACCAACACATTTTATACCTCCGAACATCTTGACGAAGTCTGCGCTGTCCAACGACATGACGACGTCAGCTTTGACCAGGGGTTCCCCGTTGCCGGCACTTCCGGCATTATTCTTCAGGTCAATGTACCAGACTCCAGCATGCTCGCCTGCCAACCCAGCCAGACAACGTTGTTAATACAGCACAGATGTAACGTTAAAGGCCCCATAAAATGGATTCGCAAGTGCAGTTGAAGTATTTCCTATTAAAACAGGAAGTTGGGACAGGACATGTGCGGCTTGTCCCGTTTTTATTAAGCCAGTAGCCTTTAGTTAACGTCACAACCATGAATCACAGGCCAAATGATTAGATACTGCTAGTCAGAAGTAGGTGATTTTAGGGGGTGGAACATAATCATTCTGCACAGCCTTTGATTGGACACAATTTATATACACCTGTGAGTTTCAAAGAACTGAAAAACTGCACATTTTAATGCATATCTGTGGATATACATATCCCTATTATAGAAGCCCATTTCCAGCACATAGGGGGAGAAAATCATGATTTGGTAAATCATAATTATGACACAAAAAAAAAAAAAAAAAAACTTAAGACATAAGTTACAATTATGAAACACCAAATCATAATAATGAGATAAAAAGTCATAATTATGACATAAGTTAAAATTACGACAAGTCAATTTTATGAGATAAAAAGTTGAAATTAGAATAAGTCTAAATTATGACATAAAAAGTCATAATTGTGACATTAGTCGTGTGAAAAAGAAAGTGCACCCTTTTTTGTATTCTATAGTTTCATGTATCAGGACATAATAAAAATCATCTGGTCACTAGCAGGTCTTAAACTTAGGTAATGATGAACAACAACACATGGCATATTACACCGTGTCAGTCTGGAGGAACTTTGTCTTCACAACGCTTTAGTTCATTGAGGGTTGTGGCCATTTGTTTATGCACAGCTCTCTGAAGGTCACGCCACAACATCTCAGTCGGGGTTGATGTCTGGACTTTGACTGGGCCGTTGCAACACCTTGATTCTTTTATTTTTCAGCCATTCTGGTGTAGATTTGCTGGTGTGCTCAGGATCATTGTCCTGTTGCATGACCCAGTTTCGGCCAAGCTTTAGCAGTCAGACAGACTCTAGCATTTGACTCTAGAAATACTTTGGAAGATTCACAACTGGAAGATTGGCAACTGTCTTGAATGTTTTCCACTTGTGAATAATCTTCCTAGCTGTAGAATAATGGACTTCAGATTGTCTGGAAATGGCTGTATAACCCTTCTCAGATTGATGGCAGCAACAACTGCTTCTCTAAGATCATTGCTGATGTCTTTCCTCCGTGTCATTGTGTTAACACACACATAAAGGCCCCAGACCAGCAATCTGACACAACGTCTGCTTTTATAGAGGTGATCACACTTGCTGATGATCAATTACTCACAGAATTTTGATTAGCACTGCCTGACTGCTGCTTACCCTCTTAACTACTATGGAAGCAGTAAGAGTGTCCTTAGTTTGTCACCCATTTGGCTTTATTTTTGTTAAATAAATAATGACACAATGTAATATGTCATGTGTTGTTGTTCAATTTTAAGACCTGCCAAGGACCAGATGGTTTTTTATTATGTCCTGATATGTAAAACCATAGAATTCAAAAGGGTGTACTTTCTTTTTCACATGACCATGTATGTCTTATTTTGAAAAAGTGGAAATTGATACACTAGAATCAATACTAAATTATGATACAAAAGTAATAATGAACTCCTAAGTCAGCAATGATTTTGACTTTATCTCTTAATTATGACTCAACTAAATTTGAACTCAAAATTAGTATGTGATTTTGACTTTTTGTTTCATAATTCCAAATTATGTTATAATTGTGACTTTTTGTGTGATTTTTATAATTTACCAAAGCATGTTTTTTCTTATGTGGCAGAAATGGGCTTCCAAAGCCCATTTTTTATTATTCAGTGTAACAGAAAAACAATTGAAGAGTGTTAGAAGAGAGCACACACTCAAAGCCACAAAACTGGAACTCAAATGGTTTAACTACCTGATAAATCGAATCTGTACACTCCTTGTGTGGTTTTCACTATATCTGGATTGAGAATTCCTCTGATTATGTTGAACATCTCAGAAATGGGTCCCACGGTGGCAGAATCAGCTTTTCCACTTTTGAAAACCGGAGTGGCACCTGAAGAGGGAGTTCAAATATCGGCACTGAGTAGTCTTCTGAAGTACGCTTGAGAATGGAAGTAAATGAACCAAGTAGAACAAAAACGGATGAAATGTGTTGGTTATGCCTCATAACTCACCATGCTGCTCCATTTGCTTGGCTAGATCCTCAGGCTGTTCATCCAAGAAAAAGTCAGGAAGCAATGGATGACCTAAAAAAAAGGAAATATATTGTGTCGTGTCGACATTCAAAGTTTCCTGTAATATGACATAACTGTCATGTTATTGTATACAAGGTCTAAAAAAAATACTTGAAAGGCCTTTGAAAACTTCTACACAAACAAAATAGTAATAAATATATTAGTAATGATAATGTACCATTTTAACATTTACCAACCTGGCTCAACAGCATATATATCCAAGTCCTTAATGCCCTCCTTTTTGAGAATGTCCTCATCAATAACAAACTGTCCCGTGAAGCTGGAGGGTTTTTCCAAGATGGCATAGGCTGCATCAGCCATGATCTCCACCTTCCTGCACTGTTTACCAATCCCAGAACCACCCAACATGTCCATGGCAGCCGTCTGGATGGCTGAAGGTTGAGTAATTCAGTTATCATAGTCAATTTTGACTAATGATGTGTTCACAACTTCACACTTGTAGTTCGGTTCGCTTGGTTCATTTGGTCCGAAAAAAAACAGAAATATTTAGTCCTGGTCAGCTTAGCGTTCACATTGGCATTTTAACACCGAACCTAAAGATACTGAACCTAAAGGCATATAGATACGTTCACAACCTGATTGTACCCGAGTATATTTTGAGACGGAACTTACCGAACATCCAAAACAATGCTGTGTTTTGGGCTAAATGCTCTCGCTGTACGTGCGTAGCTACATATGATGGTATTTTGAGAGCTTATGAAGAGCTTATAAAATGTGTAAAGGAGTCAAAACAGCGTCAGGAATCCCTCCGTCACGCAAATGAAGATCTGCTGT